ATGTTTTAAACACCACTTAATTAAAAATTAACACTGAGGGAAGTGACAGCAGAGACCTGGGGGGGAGGGGGAGAGATGTGTGTGTGAGAGATGTGTGTGAGAGATGTGTGTGTGTGAGGGGGGACAGATCTGATAACACACTGTGGAGTAACAGGAAATACAGTAGCTCTGACAGACTGGGTCAGAGAGACAAGTTGCATTAGACTCCCTTTCTATCTGTCTCTGGAACATACATTATGCAGAGAGGCGTAGCGTGTGTTTTTTTAAGAATGTTTATAAAAAGAAAACATGCTGCAGTTGTTTATTTATGACATGTTTTGCCCTTGAAATGCACACAGATGAGTGGACTTTATATATATGTTTATAATGCAGACAATACACAGTGACCTCAATAACAAACATGTGTTTAAATTAACAACTTTCAAAAAGTGTCAATTCAACTCTTCCAGAATTGGGAGTGTGCTGGGGAACACTGACTTAAATCACAGCAGACTTCTTTCAGATAATAATAATAATAATTAGTGCTGTCAAAATTATCGCGTTAATGGCGGTAATTAGTTTTTTGAATTAATTGCGTTAAAATATTTAACGCATTTAACGCATGTGCAGAATGGCCCGCCCCATACGTGCCACCAGTGGCAGCGCCAGGGTATGGCTGGGGTAGGCTACACCCATACCAAGAAATGGCTTAGCCCCACCATGAAAAATGATGTTAAAGTAAGCAAAATAAAGTCTGCCAACTCGCGGAGTAAATTGCACAGACAGCAGTTAGTAAGATTGATTTCAGTAGCCACGGTTTTGAAAACTTTTGTCACGTAGTGATCGTCTTCTCAATAGAACATCTTTGATAACGGCGTGGTGTTCTTGCAGGAAGTCCCGACGGAGAATACTTTTGCTGTAGTACAGGGGTGCACATAACTGGTACGCAGGTTATGTGCGTAATGTGAAATGCGTACCGTCACTTGTGTCACAAAGCGCATTTGCGTACCGACGTACTTGTGAAGCATTTCCAGAAGGCGGTTAGATCACCGGACGACAGAGTCGGTCTCCGTGTGCACAGACAGGGCTGCTGTTAACGTCGGTCTGTACAACGGAATTGTGCCAAAACTACGCCAACCGGCTGCGGAGGGAGACTCCCCCCCCCTTCACTGGAGAACTGCGCTAAAACAGCTGATCACAACGTTCACACTCTGTGGTCACGAAGTACTCCACGAGCCGCCGCCCCCCCTCTCTGTCGACTTTCCTGAAGTACTCCCCCGTTGATAGAAATCAACACGTAATGAATTAAGACCCCACGGTTTGATGATTGATAGGTGTGTGGGTTGTCTTTCATTTTGACACGCAGAACATGTTATAATAAACATAGATACTGTATGTTAAATGGATATATCCGCCTTCTTTCCATTCCCACAACAATATACATAAATAAATGGCATATTTTGGAAAATAGTTCGAATGGTGATTAATCATGATTAATTCATTTTTAAGCTGTGATTAATCTGATTAAAAATTGTAATCGTTTGACAGCCCTAATAATAATACATTTAAATGATATAGAGATACACAAAGACACTTTACAAGCAAGCTGTGTCAATATATCTGCATTACTGCATTAATTAAGAATTAATAGATCGACTAAAATGTGTAAAGACACTTCGGAGTCCTCGTTTTTTTTTACATTTTTTGCTTTTCTTTTGTCCTTACTCTTTTTATTTTGCATGTCTTTGAGGCACATGATTATTTGAATACATCTGGTAGTTTGTTTTGTAGCTGTTAGCGCATGTAAATGGTCTGCAAAGGCTTAAATCGCAAAGTTCCAGAACACATTGACATCACTATGTTACATTCACTTCTATTGGCTAGCAGCTCCAACACAGTGCACGTGATAGGCTAAGGGGCGGGACTTCTCTAAGCGGATGACCAATCACAACACATTTCAACAAAAGTGCGGTTTACACATTTTACTGGGAATCTTTTGTAGATTGTTCCAATTTTGTTATTTCTATCTCTGGCGTTTCATAATGTATACTGACCTAAATCTGTTGTGTATTCAATAGAGATACTCTAAATCCATCTTTCACTGTGTTTATATCATATTCAGTTTTGTAATTCATGTGCAATGCCTTGTCTGATGAAAAATGTTCCCAGATTTAAATCTATAAAATGAATCTAATATGATCTAATCTAACTTTACCGGGATATTGTTAATGGTTTCAATTGAGTCCGTGCTTTTCCTGCAATGACAAGTCAAAATAACTGCAAAGAAATTCTGTTAACAGATTGTAAAAGCTGCCTGACGATTGCAGAGGATGCATAAAGATCAGTTTCTCTGCAGGGAAAGTTAAATATTCCATGTTTTCTGTCCGGTTTCAGTCGTCGGGGACTCTTAAACCAACCTTACAACATTATGAAGTTCTTCTCTCATCACTTCTTCACATGACTGAAGATGTATCCTTAAACAACCAGCGGCTCACGCCAATTATCTGCAGACATCTGAGTGTGGCGGGCAGTCAGAGGAGGACGAAGAATCCCCATTGAACCGCAGAACAAACCAGAAACATCTTTTCAAATTGTCAATATTAAAGTGTGGCTTTAAGACGAGTGTTTTTTTGTATTGGATTCCACAACAAGAGACAAGCATCTACAGCTGTTCCCTTTGATTTATCTTCACTCATGCTCTCTTTATAGACACTTTAAAGCATGTATCATATTTTTTGTTTCAATAGATTAGTCAGAGTACGTCTTCCACTCTTATTCTTTATATCTTCCTTTAAGTTCAGGTAAGGGTTTGTATTCGGGCGGAGTTAATGAAAGCCAATTTTAATTTAGTTGCGATTTAAACACATATGTACACGATTTCTGTTCCACCAAAGGTTTTGTGTCTGTAACTAATTCCAGATCCTGATGTTCAGGTGTATATCAGTATGTAGTGTCTCTACTTTAAAGAGTCCTCTCCTGCTGATGTTCAGGTGTATATCAGTATGTAGTGTCTCTACTTTAAAGAGTCCTCTCCTGCTGATGTTCAGGTGTATATCAGTATGTAGTGTCTCTACTTTAAAGAGTCCTCTCCTGCTGATGTTCAGGTGTATATCAGTATGTAGTGTCTCTACTTTAAAGAGTCCTCTCCTGCTGATGTTCAGGTGTATATCAGTATGTAGTGTCTCTACTTTAAAGAGTCCTCTCCTACTGATGTTCAGGTGTATATCAGCATGTAGTGCCTCTACTTTAAAGAGTCCTCTCCTGCTGATGTTCAGGTGTATATCAGTATGTAGTGTCTCTACTTTAAAGAGTCCTCTCCTGCTGATGTTCAGGTGTATATCAGTATGTAGTGTCTCTACTTTAAAGAGTCCTCTCCTGCTGATGTTCAGGTGTATATCAGTATGTAGTGTCTCTACTTTAAAGAGTCCTCTCCTGCTGATGTTCAGGTGTATATCAGTATGTAGTGTCTCTACTTTAAAGAGTCCTCTCCAGCTGATGTTCAGGTGTATATCAGTATGTAGTGTCTCTACTTTAAAGAGTCCTCTCCTGCTGATGTTCAGGTATATATCAGTATGTAGTGTCTCTACTTTAAAGAGTCCTCTCCTGCTGATGTTCAGGTGTATATCAGTATGTAGTGTCTCTACTTTAAAGAGTCCTCTCCTGCTGATGTGCAGGTGTATATCAGTATGTAGTGTCTCTACTTTAAAGAGTCCTCTCCTGCTCATTTTCAGGTATATATCAGTATGTAGTGTCTCTACTTTAAAGAGTCCTCTCCTGCTGATGTGCAGGTGTATATCAGTATGTATTGTCTCTACTTTAAAGAGTCCTCTCCTGCTGATGTTCAGGTGTATATCAGTATGTAGTTTCTCTACTTTAAAGAGTCCTCTCCTGCTGATGTTCAGGTGTATATCAGTATGGAGTGTCTCTACTTTAAATAGTCCTCTCCTGCTGATGTTCAGGTGTATATCAGTATGTAGTGTCTCTACTTTAAAGAGTCCTCTCCTGCTGATGTTCAGGTGTATATCAGTATGGAGTGTCTCTACTTTAAAGAGTCCTTTCCTGCTGATGTTCAGGTGTATATCAGTATGTAGTGTCTCTACTTTAAAGAGTCCTCTCCTGCTGATGTTCAGGTGTATATCAGTATGTAGTGTCTCTACTTTAAAGAGTCCTCTCCTGCTGATGTTCAGGTGTATATCAGTATGTAGTGTCTCTACTTTAAAGAGTCCTCACCTGCTGATGTTCAGGTGTATATCAGTATATAGTGTCTCTACTTTAAAGAGTCCTCTCCTGCTGATGTTCAGGTGTATATCAGTATGTAGTGTCTCTACGGGGACATGTCTCCATGTTTAGTTTAATGTTAAAAAAGCTCTTTATTTTTCTCATACTGCCTGTTTTCACCCTCTGTCTGAAACCAGAGTAAAGTCTGACGAGCAGATACATAAATCACGTTACACTTTATGGCGAAATATGGCTTTTATGTGGCATTCAGGTGCTGTTGGAATAGTCTGAACAAAAGAGTTCCCACGTTAAACATGCCTTTAATCCCTCATATCAATTCATCTTGTGTGGAAGTAAACTGTAGAACTTTATCAAGGGTCCTGTGGATCTTTTAGTGTGGATTAGGACGAGAAGGAGCATCTAAAAAGCATGATTGTTGAGTATAGTGTTGCATTTTAGCCTTTGCAGACCATTTACATGCACACAAACCTACAGTATAGCACACTACGGGTAAAGTAAAACTCCAAAAAGCAGAATAGGGCCTCTTTAAACCTTCTTTTTGTCCGAGGGGTGTCCAGTACACATATATCACTATCTTCACACACACACACACACACACACACACACACACACACACACACACACACACACACACACACACACACACACACACACACACACACACACACACACACACACACACACACACACACACACTTCACTACAGTATATACTGTATATCTGTTCTCAGGTTTTTGTTGCACTCTCTCCAACCTTACCAACGTGTAGAGGAGCTTTGTGCTGCAGACTGGCCCGTGGGCGGAAGAGAGAGTGAGGTAAAGAAAGGAAGATGGGACAAGGTTAGAGGATGTGAGGGAGGCAGAATAAAGCTGAGGTACACAGAGAGAGAGAGAGACATTGTGAGAGGATCCAAAGTATTTGACAGGCTGTCATTTTCTCCTCTGGGTTGCATCGCTGTGCAGAGCTTTGGTAGAATCACAGAGAGCAGAGAAAGGAGAGGATTTATCATCCAAACACACCTGTAAGTAGCTCCAATCATCTCTTTATCCGTGCATAGAGTGTGTGTGTGTGTGTGTGTGTGTGTGTGTGTGTGTGTGTGTGTGTGTGTGTGTGTGTGTGTGTGTGTGTGTGTGGGTGTGTGTGTGTGTGTGTTTGTGTCCATACTTGTGGGTTTTGAGCTGCGTGTAAACTTGGTCCAGGATCTATAGGCTTTAATAAGTGCACTGTCATGTATCTGTAAGCTGACTCACTAACTGTTGCCTTGGCGACGGGGACATTGTTGACATACAGTAGCTGCTTTTATTTTGGTGCATTATTGGAAAGCATACGAAGAAATATCACCCTAACCCTAATATATATCCAATGGTGTGTGTGTGTGTGTGTGTGTGTGTGTGTGTGTGTGTGTGTGTGTGTGTGTGTGTGTGTGTGTGTGTGTGTGTGTGTGTGTGTGTGTGTGTGAGACTCAAGAGGCTCTGTGTGGTACTAATCCTCGAAGACCGTTTGTTTGCTTTCTTTCAAATATTTCACTAATAATATATCCAGTCAAGGTACGAGACAACTAAGTCAGGAACACAGAGATGTTAGCCTTTGCAGACCATGCACTGAAACCTGTATTACACACTTGATGATAGGGAGAACTCCAAAATAACAACAGGGCCTCTTTGAAATAACTCAGTCTTCCAGCTTCAGCGAGGTTCGTGCTTTCATGTTCCACACTGTGTGACTCGTATGGCCTGAATACGACGTTTCTAGCCTGAAATTATTATCTAAGAAATGTAATTATGGAGGAAAGCATTTGGAAAAAGGACGAATCGAAATTGCTGAAACATGTGGAAAAAATATGTTGTAAAACTTCCTTTCAGTTCAGAGCTTCAGTCTGGGTTCTACATTTTAAAGTTTCCAAATAATTTTTGTGTATTCATTTGTATTTTCTTTAGGTGTGTTGTTTGTCTCTACTCGTCTCCACTGGTTGTCTCTACTTGTCTCCACTGGTTGTCTCTACTCGTCTCCACTGGTTGTATCTACTTGTCTCCACTGGTTGTCTCTACTCGTCTCCACTGTGTGTCTCTACTCGTCTCCACTGGTTGTCTCTACTTGTCTCCACTGTTTGTCTCTACTTGTCTCCACTGGTTGTCTCTACTCGTCTCCACTGGTTGTCTCTACTTGTCTCCACTGGTTGTCTCTACTCGTCTCCACTGGTTGTCTCTACTCGTCTCCACTGGTTGTCTCTGTCTCCACTGTTTGTCTCTACTCGTCTCCACTGGTTGTCTCTACTCGTCTCCACTGTTTGTCTCTACTTGTCTCCACTGGTTGTCTCTACTCGTCTCCACTGGTTGTCTCTACTTGTCTCCACTGGTTGTCTCTACTTGTCTCCACTGGTTGTCTCTACTCATCTCCACTGGTTGTCTCTACTTGTCTCCACTGTTTGTCTCTACTCGTCTCCACTGGTTGTCTCTACTCGTCTCCACTGTTTGTCTCTACTCGTCTCCACTGGTTGTCTCTACTCGTCTCCACTGGTTGTCTCTACTTGTCTCCACTGGTTGTCTCTACTTGTCTCCACTGGTTGTCTCTACTCGTCTCCACTGTTTGTCTCTACTTGTCTCTACTCGTCTCCACTGTTTGTCTCTACTCGTCTCCACTGTTTGTCTCTACTCGTCTCCACTGGTTGTCTCTACATGTCTCCACTGGTTGTCTCTACTCGTCTCCACTGTTTGTCTCTACTTGTCTCCACTGGTTGTCTCTACTCGTCTCCACTGTTTGTCTCTACTCGTCTCCACTGTTTGTCTCTACTCGTCTCCACTGTTTGTCTCTACTTGTCTCCACTGGTTGTCTCTACTCGTCTCCACTGTTTGTCTCTACTCGTCTCCACTGTTTGTCTCTACTCGTCTCCACTGGTTGTCTCTACTCGTCTCCACTGTTTGTCTCTACTTGTCTCCACTGTTTGTCTCTACTCGTCTCCACTGGTTGTCTCTACTCGTCTCCACTGTTTGTCTCTACTCGTCTCCACTGGTTGTCTCTACTCGTCTCCACTGGTTATCTCTACTCGTCTCCACTGGTTGTCTCTACTTGTCTCCACTGTTTGTCTCTACTGTTTGTCTACTCGTCTCCACTGGTTGTCTCTACTCGTCTCCACTGGTTGTCTCTACTCGTCTCCACTGGTTGTCTCTACTCGTCTCCACTGGTTGTCTCTACTCGTCTCCACTGGTTGTCTCTACTCGTCTCCACTGTTTGTCTCTACTCGTCTCCACTGGTTGTCTCTACTTGTCTCCACTGTGTGTCTCTACTCGTCTCCACTGGTTGTCTCTACTCGTCTCCACTGGTTGTCTCTACTTGTCTCCACTGGTTGTCTCTACTCGTCTCCACTGGTTGTCTCTACTTGTCTCCACTGGTTGTCTCCACTGGTTGTCTCTACTCGTCTCCACTGTTTGTCTCTACTCGTCTCCACTGGTTGTCTCTACTTGTCTCCACTGGTTGTCTCTACTTGTCTCCACTGGTTGTCTCTACTTGTCTCCACTGGTTGTCTATACTCGTCTCCACTGTTTGTCTCTACTTGTCTCTACTCGTCTCCACTGGTTGTCTCTACTTGTCTCCACTGTGTGTCTCTACTTGTCTCCACTGGTTGTCTCTACTTGTCTCCACTGTGTGTCTCTACTTGTCTCCACTGTGTGTCTCTACTCGTCTCCACTGGTTGTCTCTACTCGTCTCCACTGGTTGTCTCTACCCGTCTCCACTGGTTGTCTCTACTCGTCTCCACTGTTTGTCTCTACTCGTCTCCACTGGTTGTCTCTACTTGTCTCCACTGGTTGTCTCTACTCGTCTCCACTGGTTGTCTCTACTCGTCTCCACTGGTTGTCTATACTCGTCTCCACTGTTTGTCTCTACTTGTCTCCACTGGTTGTCTCTACTCGTCTCCACTGGTTGTCTCTACTCGTCTCCACTGTTTGTCTCTACTCGTCTCCACTGGTTGTCTCTACTTGTCTCCACTGTTTGTCTCTACTCGTCTCCACTGGTTGTCTATACTCGTCTCCACTGTTTGTCTCTACTTGTCTCCACTGGTTGTCTCTACTTGTCTCCACTGGTTGTCTCTACTTGTCTCCACTGTTTGTCTCTACTCGTCTCCACTGGTTGTCTATACTCGTCTCCACTGTTTGTCTCTACTTGTCTCCACTGGTTGTCTCTACTCGTCTCCACTGGTTGTCTCTACTTGTCTCCACTGTTTGTCTCTACTTGTCTCCACTGGTTGTCTATACTCGTCTCCACTGTTTGTCTCTACTTGTCTCCACTGGTTGTCTCTACTCGTCTCCACTGTTTGTCTCTACTTGTCTCCACTGTGTGTCTCTACTCGTCTCCACTGTGTGTCTCTACTTGTCTCCACTGGTTGTCTCTACTTGTCTCCACTGTTTGTCTCTACTCGTCTCCACTGGTTGTCTCTACTCGTCTCCACTGGTTGTCTCTACTCGTCTCCACTGGTTGTCTCTACTTGTCTCCACTGTTTGTCTCTACTCGTCTCCACTGGTTGTCTCTACTCGTCTCCACTGGTTGTCTCTACTTGTCTCCACTGGTTGTCTCTACTCGTCTCCACTGGTTGTCTCTACTCGTCTCCACTGTGTGTCTCTACTCGTCTCCAATGGTTGTCTCTACTCGTCTCCACTGGTTGTCTCTACTTGTCTCCACTGGTTGTCTCTACTCGTCTCCACTGGTTGTCTCTACTTGTCTCCACTGGTTGTCTCCACTGGTTGTCTCTACTCGTCTCCACTGTTTGTCTCTACTCGTCTCCACTGGTTGTCTCTACTCCTCTCCACTGGTTGTCTCTACTTGTCTCCACTGGTTGTCTCTACTTGTCTCCACTGGTTGTCTCTACTTGTATCCACTGGTTGTCTCTACTTGTCTCTACTCGTCTCCACTGGTTGTCTCTACTCGTCTCCACTGGTTGTCTCTACTTGTCTCCACTGGTTGTCTCTACTCGTCTCCACTGGTTGTCTCTACTTGTCTCCACTGGTTGTCTCCACTGGTTGTCTCTACTCGTCTCCACTGTTTGTCTCTACTCGTCTCCACTGGTTGTCTCTACTTGTCTCCACTGGTTGTCTCTACTTGTCTCCACTGGTTGTCTCTACTTGTCTCCACTGGTTGTCTATACTCGTCTCCACTGTTTGTCTCTACTTGTCTCTACTCGTCTCCACTGGTTGTCTCTACTTGTCTCCACTGTGTGTCTCTACTTGTCTCCACTGGTTGTCTCTACTTGTCTCCACTGGTTGTCTCTACCCGTCTCCACTGTTTGTCTCTACTCGTCTCCACTGTTTGTCTCTACTCGTCTCCACTGGTTGTCTCTACTTGTCTCCACTGTTTGTCTCTACTCGTCTCCACTGGTTGTCTATACTCGTCTCCACTGTTTGTCTCTACTTGTCTCCACTGGTTGTCTCTACTTGTCTCCACTGGTTGTCTCTACTTGTCTCCACTGTTTGTCTCTACTCGTCTCCACTGGTTGTCTATACTCGTCTCCACTGTTTGTCTCTACTTGTCTCCACTGGTTGTCTCTACTTGTCTCCACTGGTTGTCTCTACTTGTCTCCACTGTTTGTCTCTACTCGTCTCCACTGGTTGTCTCTACTCGTCTCCACTGTTTGTCTCTACTTGTCTCCACTTGTTGTCTCTACTTGTCTCCACTGTTTGTCTCTACTCGTCTCCACTGGTTGTCTATACTCGTCTCCACTGTTTGTCTATACTCGTCTCCACTGTTTGTCTCTACTTGTCTCCACTGGTTGTTTCTACTCGTCTCCACTGTTTGTCTATACTCGTCTCCACTGTTTGTCTCTACTTGTCTCCACTGGTTGTCTATACTCGTCTCCACTGGTTGTCTCTACTTGTCTCCACTGTTTGTCTCTACTCGTCTCCACTGGTTGTCTATACTCGTCTCCACTGTTTGTCTATACTCGTCTCCACTGTTTGTCTCTACTTGTCTCCACTGGTTGTCTCTACTCGTCTCCACTGTTTGTCTCTACTTGTCTCCACTGTTTGTCTCTAC